TTCCTGCTCCTTCGATAGGCTGGTTTCTGCCCCTCTCCCGTCCTAGTTTGCCAGCCTGACCCCATGGGGCCTGATGGGATTTGACATCCATGACTGGGAACCTTGCAGTGGGAGCACAGCACTAAATGTGACCAAAGATGCTGAGTTGTCTGCCAGCCCCTGGCCCTGGTGGGTTACTGACATTACCCCCACTGGTCTCCTTCCTGGGAGGCCAAGTCAGTCACTGTTCCACATGCCATAATCGGCTTGCATTCTACATACGGGTCTTTACATTTCACCTGTTTCCTAGCCTCCTTGTGGTGGTTTGAGTTGCTGACCGAACTAGCTGAGAAATCAGGCATTCAGACTGGTTGCTGTTTGAACAATCCTACCCCATAACTGGGACACTCTATGGCCAGGTTGGCGTGTGACCTCCTGGGGCCACCCTGGGGGGTAAAGGGTCACCTGCAGTTTCGGGGGAGATCACCCCAGGGTGAGGTGAAGGTCACTGATCTCCACTCTCATTCCTTAGGAACATGGGAAGTCCCTTTCTGAGTCCTCCTGATGAGGAGGGCCCAAGGAGCAGGGAGGGGGTTAGCAACGTCCATGCCCAGCATGCCCAGCTCCCAGTCACCACACCCCCACTGACGATGCTATCTGCTTCCAGTTGGCCTCCCACTTCTCTCTGAGGTATTTACTCACAGATGTTCACAGGTCCGACACCTTCTCCAGTGAGTCTGTGGCAGGTGGGGAGAGAAAGAGACATTTCATTTGCTGAGAAACTAAAGTGCCCTGAGTTCTTCGACTTGAAGTTACCAACACGGAGTACTAGCTGTGTGCCCGGCACTCGGCTTACCAAGAATTCCATCCATCTTGTTAGCTTTGGATGCCAACGTGAATATATGAGGGGAAACCCAGAAGAGAGAGAGGTCGGAAATAGGTAGAGAAACGGGAGGGGTCCTGTGCCAACTAGGTAGAGTAAGACAGTCACACTGTAGAGCACTCTGGGGAACCATAGAGTCCTGAGGCTTGTCCCAAGTGTGACCCCACTTGTTACTGTGCCTGGCAGAAATGGACCTGATTGGGCCTTCCAGGTGGTCGTGGACCACCTCTCCCTGCCTGGAGCCAATAGGAGCCATGAGAGGGGCTGTGGCTATAGAAAGCCTCTAAGGGAACATTTTCAGCCTTTTTCTTACTTTGGACTTTCTATATGGGGGGCTGGCATTGTGGGGCTCATGGGGCCTCTGTGGCATTCTGATCATGTTCTGGTGGCCTCTGTTTGGGTCATGGTAGGAGCAGAAGGTGACCCACCTGCACTCCTCGCCCTCCAGCAGCTTGCGGTAGGTGGCGATCTCAATGTCCAGGGCCAGCTTGACATTCATGAGCTCCTGGTACTCGCGCAGCTGCCGTGCCATGTCCTGCTTGGCCTTCTGCAGGGCATCCTCCAGCTCGGCCAGCTTATTCTTGGCATCCTTCAGGGCCAGCTCTCCACGCTGCTCAGCATCAGCAATGGCAGCCTGGAGTGTGGCACACTGCCAGGAGGAGAGAGGAGTTTGTGAAACTGTTCACAGGCCACCTGGCAAGGCATGGCTCCAAGTTAACAATACGGACGAATTCTCTGAAATGGCTAATGCAAAGGAGGTTGGAGCTTCATTATCTTTAAAAATATGATTGATATTTGACATGCTTGGATAATTTGAGGCTTAGCCAGGCTGGAGAAAACAATTTTCTGAGGTCTGTTTCAATGCTGAGCCTCCCTGGATAGTAGGTGAGCAAAGCAAACCGAGGTCAAAGTTGTTTGTGCCTCCAGAGAACAGATCTTTCCCAGGTGATGGCACATTCACGTTCTTGGCCACTCATCTGGGTCTTCTCACTGCATGGGCTGGTGGGGCCCGGGCCCAGGCAAGCCCAGAGGCAGGGATAGGGATGAGATGACCTCTGAGCGCTCAACCCTACCTGCTTCTTCAGGTTATCAATCTCAGAGCGCAGCCTCTGCATCACCCGGTTCAGCTCAGAGATCTCCATCTTAGTGGTGCGGAGGTCATCCCCGTGCCGGCCGGCTGACCGCTGCAGCTCCTCGTACTGAGAGGAAGGAGAGAAAGGCCTTGGGTGAGGGTGCATGTAGCAGATGGTGGTCATGCTAGAGAAGAGGAGGTTATGACTTCCAGGGCCCTACGGGCTGTCAGTGCTGTTTGGACTGACCTTACTTTTGCCCCGCCTGGCTCCATCAAGTCTGCCTGCATTGTCTCTCAGCTCTGCTCCTCGCTCACCATGTCCCCAGGCTCCCCTGCCCAGCTGAGCAGCTGCAGTTGTGCTAATCCCATACCTGGTCTTTCTCCTCTCTTCCTTGACACCATGCCTCTCACTCTTGCTATCTCAGCATCACGCAGTATCTGTCACCTTCTGATTTTGAAGCTCCCTCACATTTTTTGTCCTTGACACCACATCTCATCTTTCCCCAGTGACTTCCAGCTCAGAGTGTTCACACTAACCCAGAAAATCTCACTCTGTAACTCAGAAGCCTTTGTCCCCAGCCCCTCGAGCCCAGTCAGTTCCACCTCTTCTTTGAATCATCTAGCCTCTTCCAGGGGTGACGAACTTTCCTGTGATCTTCACATTCACTCTCTCCACCTCCTACTCTCACTGATGTCCAGAACTGTCCAGCTGTCTCATGTCTCTCTGCTAAGGGGCACTGGGGAGGGGGGAGCCTTCTATCCTGGCAGACGGACTGATGACCTCCCACTTGTGTCTGGCTGGTCTCTGAGCTCAGTGCTGCCCTGAGGTAGTGTTCAGAACACAGTGTGGACTCAAGTTGAGCCCAGATCCCTTCGATCCTGCAGACTGATGTCTGAGAAGACAAGGCCCTCATCATGTTTGCCTCTGAAACCCCAGACTCTGTGCTTGCTTAAATGGCCTGACCTTGGTGCCTCACCTTGGTCTGGTACCAGGACTCGGCCTCGGCCCGGCTACGGTTGGCGATGTCTTCATATTGGGCCTTGACCTCAGCGATGATGCTGTCCAGGTCCAGGCTGCGGTTGTTGTCCATGGAGAGGACCACAGACGTCTCGGAGATCTGGGCCTGAAGCTGAGCCAGCTCCTGTGATGAGGCCCAAATGGGACAGCTGAAGCAAGGTGTGTGTGCAGGGATGTGAACATGAATGTGCATGTTGGGAGACTGTGGCTTGCCCCTGGAACAGACCTTGGCATCAAGGACCTTAGGTCTGAAAGGGCTGGGAAGGACATTAGGCCGATCACCGAGTTTAAGGCTGTTTATCATCAGCTCATCTACACGGGGAGCAGCAGCACCGGTGACTCCAGCCAGAGTGCTCCAGAAGCCACCTCTATTGTCAAAGGAGCACAGCTTGTTATGACCTGTCATACGATGTCTCATGTTCCGAGAAAGCACAGCCCTTCACGCCAAGTAAAGAAGTCATCTGAAAGAAAACTGAGTCAGAAGGTGCCAGAAATTTCTGTCACTTTCTGGTTCTGTTTCCCAACTTGGCTCCTCCCTGCTCCTCAGGGAGGGGAAATGAAAATCAGTTCAAACAGCAGAAAGGGCATCAGACAGAAAAATTCAAGTCTTGGACCTGCCAAGCAAGTTTAGATAGCATCCGAGCCTCAGAGAGGCTAGTCAAGAACTGGCCTTGTGTGATTTCCACGAGGATTGAATAACCACCACGTAAGCTGGTTTTAGAAACAGTACACCCTCAGTTAATTTGTGAATGACCACTTTTCAGAGTCATCTTAAGGGGCGGCTCTCAACATGTGGCTTCAGACCAGGAGCATCAGCATCGCCTGACTTACAAAACCAGAGTTGGTGTTTCCACGAGACCTCTAGAAGGTTCAGACGCTCTTTGACATAGGAGAATCGCTGGTCTAAAGCACACATCTAAGTAAAGTGACTTCTTTGCTCTCTTTATTAGTGACTAATGCGTACATTTCCCATTTCAACAAATTATTATTTTGTTGTCGTGCTGCAATTTGCTTTTCCCAAATAGTGCTTCCTAGATGCTGACCTAGTTTGACAGCCTCAGCCCACAGGTTTGCTGGGTCGTGGACTAGTCCAGAGGTAGGAACCAGTACCACCCTTGTCATCATGGAAGAAAATGAGCTGAGAAGATAAGCCTTTGGCCCAGGTGTGGGATGGGCATCAAACCTGCTCCAAGCCTCCGAGCTGAAGCTCCACTCCTGTGTAGGTCACCAAATCTATGTGATTCCATGGGTGTATCACTGGTCCTTAGCAGGCCTGCCTGAAGGTACATAGCCCACCCTACACCCGCCCTCAACATCACTGGTCCGTGTCCTCTAATCTCCTCCTCACTCTGCTCCAGATGCACCAGCCTCCTCCAGGAATTCCTGGATCACATATGGGGCATTTGTACTTCCCACCCCCACTGGCTGGAACACTGTTCCCCCACCCCCATGTCTTCCTGACCCACATCCTCAATTCCTTCCATTTTTTTTATCGACTATCATCCACCCCTGCCTAACATTGCTCCCTGTTTCTTCTTTCTTATGGCCCCTATCATGCCTGAAATGGAGTCATTTTTGACAGTCTCCCCACTATAACATTCGCTTCAGGAACTTGGCATTGTAGCTACAGCCCTGAGAAGAGGACCTGGGATACAGAGATGTTCAACACACAGTGCTTCCAGGAGAGCCAGGCAATTGTGTTGCATGCTTCCAGAAGCTCCCGAGGGTTTGCAAATTGCCACTTGATTTGTGTAATTGCATAATCCTGCAGTTATTCTAGGAAGAGCCAGAGGTAGAGTTGGGCTGGGCTGGGTGAGCCAGTTGCTCAGACCATTCTAAAGAAATCGTATTTCAGTTCTTTTGTCTGATCAGCAGAACATGCTCGGTCCAGGGAGTCTAGACTGAATTCTTCACCTCTCTTGACCCACCAGGAACCTCATATCCACTGTAGTAAGAAAAGCGGTATCTGCCCCACCTATTACAACCGCAACTGGGATAAGGAGCAGAGAGAGGGCCCTGGCCCCCAGCTCTCCTGACGGGGAGCCCCAGGCACTCTCACCGCTTCGTAGAAAGCTCTCAGGAAGTTGATCTCATCCATTAGGGCGTCCACCTTGGCCTCCAGCTCCACCTTGTTCATGTAGGCAGCATCCACGTCCTGAGTACAGAACACTCTATCACCTGGGTGCCGCCCATCCTGGGTAGCCAGCTCTCTCTGTCTATGAGTTAGGCAGGAGAGCTTCAGCTCCTGAGCATTTCTCTATTCCAGGTTAAGGGGTTGGGAAAGGGGGAGGGGTCCGAACTGTGTGAGGACCAGGAGTCTCAGCTAGTGCCACGTGGAAAGGTCTCCTGTGTCAGCTCATGTGGCGAGGACAAGCCCATCCTGGGCCTCTGGGTTTCTGCAGCTGTCTCTGACTCTCCTTCCTGTCTCCAAAGTCTATATGGCTCCCCTCCTGCTCACACCTCTCCCTGACTCCCCCACCCCCATTCACCACTGCTCTGTTTCCTCCTCTGGCTTAGCCTCGAGGCTGGTTGTCGCGTTCTTCTGTTTGATGCCCCCAGCAGGATGGTTCAGGACTCTGTGGAGTGGGTCCCCTACTGCCCTTGTCCCCTAAGCCTGACTCCATGTCCTGGAGACTCAGCTCAGGACCAGGCCCGCCTTGGCCTCTTCACCTCCAGTGAAGCTGGAGGCCTGCTTCACTCTCCACATTGGACTTCACGTGAGGGATGGCGCATGGGTACTGCAATCTACAGCTCAGACGGGAGTCCTGGATCCTACCTCATTTCTGATTCTCTGGGTGACCTTTGGCAACGTAGCCTCCCAGTCTCAGTCTTCTCACGTGTAAAGTAAAGCTTGCTTCTAAGAGTTCTTGTGCACATCAAAGCCTTGTATGTAAGGCTTGGGCTCATGTGGCAGCTGTCACTAGCACAGGGAGCCTGGGTTTAAGTGAGAGCATCTCTGACCACTCACCTTCTTGAGCACCACAAACTCGTTCTCCGCCGCCGTGCGTCTGTGGATTTCTTCTTCATATCTGTGGGGAGGATGGGAGGTGAACAGGAGTTAGCAGTGGCGCTTCTGGAAGTGAGGGTGGATCAGCGGGGGCTGTAGGTGGGCAGGCAATGGGAGGCCTCCAGAATAGGCTTAGAAGATGTTCTATCACAGTGAAGTTCTCCCATTTCACGTACATGGGGGATCTTCAAAAAGTTCATGGAACATGCTATTATGAAAGACCTATGCATGGATTTCAATTTTTTTTAAACACCAAAGTAAACTGACACTTTTATTTCCTTTTCCAAAAACCTTCTGAGGTCCCCTTGTATGTTGCCATACTCAAAATCAAACAAATAACCTTTCTAGTCAAACCCAAACCCCAACCCACCACAGCAGAACCATCCCTTATTCTTTCTGAGGCTTAATTTCTCAGTTAGGTTCCTGAGAGAACTTGGGTTTGGTAAGGGGCATGCAAGCTTTTCTTCTTTTTTTTTTTTGAAGAGGTGTTTTTGTTTGTTTGTTTGTTTGCTATAGGGCATGTGCACGCACCAGAAAGACAGAGAGGCAGAAAGCAAGAAATCAACCCCCCCAGGGGGGATGGCCATGCCACAATCCCTTCTCCTCCAGTCTCCTCTCGGGATCTTGGGCATGCACGCACATGCACCCAGCTTGAGTTTAAGCGACTGGTCTGGGACTTGAACTGCGGTCAACTACATGGGAGTCTAGTGATATAGCCATTACGCTAACTGCTGGTCCCACAAGCTTTTCTTCTTAAACACAGGCATACATACATACATGTATACTATGGTCTTGCCCTGACCCCAACAGAGGAGTGAGGGCAAGAACAGAGATAAGGTAAGAGGCCATAGCTTCCGAGCTCAGGCCTGGCTCCTGCACCCAACAATGCCTTCATGTTCCCACACCGTTCTTAGCCATGCTGGCCATGGCCTAAGAAGCAGGGTCTTCAGGCTAATAGGAACCCCCTCTTCCCCCAGTTTTCTCATTCTTCAGTTGGCTCTTGGCTCTTAGGCAACAACCCCACCACTTATCCCCCCCCGCCCCCAGGTCACACGGGAATAACCTCCTGCTCAGTGATCTCTGGGGGAAAATTTCACTTCCACGCCAGGTGACCCATTTTCTTCCTTCCTTCCTTTCTTTCTCTCTCTCTTTTTTTCTTTCTCTTTTTTGGCTTTTAAGAATTATTTATTTATTTATTTATTTTATTATTATTATTTTAATTTGCTATAGAGCACATGTGCTCACCAGAGAGAGATGAGGAAGAGAAAGTGAGAAAGGGAGAAAGCATACTGCTAGGTCAAGGACTTGAACCACGGTCCGTCAGGTGGGAGTCCAGCACTTTAACCACTGTGCCGCCTGCTGGCCTCAGACATACATTTTCTCCCTCACCCTCTCCAGCATCAGCAAACCCCACCCTTAGAGGTGTTGGACAGCTGTGGTTTGGATCTCGGCTCCTTCACCTACCAGCTGCGTGAACTTGGGCAGGTGCCCCGACCTCTCAGAGGCTCTTTCCCATCTCTCAAATGGCAAGCTGTTATCGCTCAGAACCACACAGCAGCATCACACACGCGTGCAGAGCCAGAATCTGTCCAGCCCTCACACCGTCTCTATTGCCCGGTGAGATCTGAGAACACCTTCCTGCCCTTGAAACCTCGGTCCTATGCCTTCTTCATGTTCTCTGGGAAAACAGATTTGGTTTTCTTCATCGTTGTCTCAGGAAGCTTCTTAATTCAATCAGAACTTTTTTTTTTTTGTCACCTAATTCCATGCAACTATCCTTGTTGTGTGTGTTTCCCTCTTCCGGAAGGCAGGCATCTCATGGCCTAGTACAAGCTGCTTAGACATCTCGGGAACATTGCCTGGCCACTAAGTAGGAACACACTCTCCAACAGATCCCTGCCGTATCCCTCCCCTGGGCTTTCTTACTCCTCAGCCTCAAGTTTTAGTTTCCTCCTCCAGAAAGCCTTCTTGGATTAAAACACTGGTACTCTGGATTTGCATGCATATTGTAAATGATCCATCTGCGCTTGCTTCTCTTATCTGGGTTGGTATCATCATACACATATACCTAATCATAAATACAGTGAGAAGGGCTAACACTTACTAACAACCTACTATGTACCTTGCACTACACACCCTACCAAGTATTTTACATGCAAGTTTTGATTTAATACTCTCAGACCTTGTGAGGCAGGCACTGCTGACACCCCTTTTAATAGATAAAGAAACTGGGGCTTCAAAAGTTAAATTGGGGACCAGCAGTTAGCATAATGGCTATGGTCCTGGACTCCCATGTAGTCGACCGTGGTTTGAGTCCTGGACCCAGCGGCTTAAATCCATGCTGGGTACATAAACATGCATGCCCAAGATCCGGAGAGGAGAATGGAGGAGAAGGGATTGCGGTGTGGCCATCCCCCCTTGGGGGTGATTTCTCGCTCTCTGTCTCTCTCTCTCTCTCTTTCTGGTGAGCACATGCACCCTATAGCAAAAACCTCTCCCCCCCAAAAAAGTTAAATTGATTTCTTGAGGTCATTCAGCTAAAAAGTGGTTAAGTCAAGATTCTGAAATTCTGAAGCTACTGCTTCTAGACTCCATAGCACTAGCCAATACAACTTTCTGCAAGGATGGAAATGCTCTATATTTGTGTTCATTGTACAACCCATTAGAGACATGTGGCAACCGAGCACTAGAAACGTGGTTAGTGTGTCTGAGGAGTTTTTCATAATATTTCTTTTTAATTAATTAAAATTCAGATGGTCATGTGTGGCTAGTGGCCATTGAATTGAACAGCACAACTCTATATTACACAAACAGTAATTGAAACACATCAAGTTACTAATTTTGGTTGGACCAACAGAATTAGAAATAATTAGGACAAGAAAAAAGAAATAAAAACAATAAAATAAGAAACAGCAATAAAAATAAAACTCACAGCTATGGGTGTGAGGAAATAAGCAGAGTGTTATTTTGGTGTGCATGTATGTTTATGTGCATGTGTGTGTGTGTGTGTATGTGTAGTCTTGGGAGAAGGCAGCACATGTGTCTCTTTCTTTCTTCTTTGTTCTCCCAGACTCTTGGCCAGAGTTGGGGTGAATGTATGAGTGCTGGGTAGGTTAGCAATGGGATTTATTTAAATAACTGTGAAGTGAGATACCATATGATATATAACCTTGGGCAAGTCAGTTGCTGTCTCAGAGCCTCAACTCTCCCCATCTGTAGAGTTTAATGGATCATTATGTATCTCAAGCTCTCTGTACCCATATTAGTTATCATCATCCATGACTCCAGTCCCTCCCTTCAACCTCAACAACCTCAACTTCAGAGTCCTGTTCTCATCCTACTGGCATGTCTACTTATGCTTCCACCTCTGTGCTCTAAGTGTGTATCCCATTTCCATATGGACTGGGCTTTTCTGGAGTGCAGAGCCTGCTCCTCCTGCTTCCTCTGGCTTCCCCAGGAGCCCCAGGCAGGGCAGTGGGCAGGTTGAACATCCACTCACTTGTTCTTGAAGTCCTCCACCACGTCCTGCATGCTCTTCAGCTCCATTTCCAGCCGGCCTCGCTCTCCACCCAGACAGTCCAACTGCCGCCTCAGGTTGTTGATGTAGGCTTCAAACATGGGCTCGATATTGGCCCTGGTAGTTTTATGGTCTTGCAGGATGCTCCATTTTGTTTCTAGGACTTTGTTCTGCTGCTCCAGAAACCGCACCTACCCAGCCAGAGGTAACAACCATGAGGGCTTCCATGCAACAGCCTCCCTGAGGGCTCTGGGGTATAGGGCCCCCCAACAGTGCAATGAGGCTCCGCACAACCCCAGAGTCCAGGTAGAGGCTCCCCCTCCTCCTCAGCCCAGGAGGAGCTGAGAACATAGAGAGTTTAGCACATGTTGGGGCAAGGGGCTTGGGAGAGGGCTGTGATTTGGTTTGGAAGAGCCAGAGGAGCTAGAAGCCATCTGAGTACACCAGACCACAGTGGTATATATTAACTTAAGAAAAGAATGCCTCACCATCATGTTACCGAGTGAGGTTTTGATTCCCACAAAATGAGCAGGAGGTTCTTTACAGAAAATTCAATCTGTTCACTTTCTTCCTGACACAATTTTTCAACATTTAGAATCTGAGCTAAGTTGGCCACACCCTCCAGGAACACCGGAATGGGTCACTGGAGTTGCATCCAGGGAACCTGCACAGTCCCAGCCGTGCTCCTTACTAGTGTGGCAGTGGGCAAGCCCCTTCCTCCGTTGGTTCTCGCAAGGCCCCTGTGGTCTTGAGACATTGTGCTGCTAACTTGTGTTGCTTTAAATCACCCCTATCAGCTCAGAAGGCTGGAAGCAGCCTTGAGAAATATGTATAACCTTTCCTCCCTGCCTTCACTGGGAGTAGCACTCATACCTAGCCTCGGAGAATGAAGGAGTAGAGAATGAAGGAAGTCCATGACTTTGGCATGGCAGTATCTCTTCCCTGCAGAGGTCTTTAACAAATGCATCCTTCTCTCTCTAGCCCTCCCACGACAAGAGGAAGGAGAGAAATCCTGGCCCCAAGAACCTTCTTAGTTCTGTCTTACAAGAGGAAGGAGAGAAGTCCTGGCCCCAAGAACCTTCTTAGTTCTGTCTCCTCACTCCCCATGTTCCCTTAAGATGAGCCAAAGGAAAGTGGGGCCCTGTTCTTCCCTTCACATCCAGGTCTCCAGAAATCTCATCTCTAGTGGCAAAGACCAGGCCAGGCAGTGGACATGGGGTGATAAGTTTAAGAACTGGTGTGTTGGCAATGCCTTTTTGTTAGGTCAACACACTCAGTGCTCCAGGTACACGTGATGTCGCATATCACAGCCTGTTAGTTCTTCCAAGGAACTTAGGGTCTATCTGTCCCACTCAACTGAAACACGAGAAGTAAAGGGACCCTCCCAGCAAATTGGAACTTAGCCTCTTAGGTTAGCACTCTTTCTTTCAGGTCCCAGGATGGAGCCTAAAAAACCCACATCCTTTAATTTGGTTTCCCCCAGGTTATAAAATAAAAGCCAGTTCAGGCATATGTTAGTGCTGGTGCAAAAGAGGATCACTCCACAGGGTGAGGGCAGAGAGGCTCTCTCTCAGAGCTGGGGAAATCCCTAGGAGTCCAGCCAGGCAGAAGCTAGGGGCTGAAGTCTCACCTTTCCAGTTACTACTAAAAAAGCGTGAAATGCTCTGAGCACCCCTTGCCTCCCATTGGCTTCCTAGACATACCCACATGACTAGGGAGATGCCTATTGCCAGGAGTAAGAAAAAGTGGTCCCAGCCCATCTCCATGAACTGAGTTTGTAACCTTTCATTCCTCCATCTCCTTTCCTCTAAACTGATCTCCTTTTTCTGCCTATTCGTCTATCTTTCATTTATTTATTTATAAATTGCCAAAGGACATGTGCACTCACCAGAGATACAGAGAAAGAGGGAGAGGAAGAAAGCATCCTCAATGGAACGTGGCCACATCGCAATCCCTTCTCCTCTATTTCTCCATCCTGTCTGGATTTGGGGCATGCATGCACACATACCCTGTGTGTCTTTCAAGCCACCATGGTTGGATTCCAAACCATAGTTGGCCATGCGGGATCCAGCTCCCTTAACCACTGGGCCACAGGGCCAGCCTTTCTCCAATTTTAAGCCAAGTACATGACACTATCTATCAGAAGAATAATGTCCTTAAGGTCAGAGAGCACATGAGTCTGGAGATGGAAATCTTTCTGCTCCCAGGTGGGAAACCACCCCCACCTCCACCTTGCCAGCAGACTTCCCAGCCACCAGGACTGCAGGTCCCAGCTAGTCTCAGTTGACCTCAGAAAAGCACAAACAGTAGAGGTCAGCTGCTTTCCCTTCCTTTCCTCTCTCTCACCTTATCGATGAAGGAGGCAAACTTGTTGTTGAGAGTCTTGATCTGCTCCTTCTCCTCCTTCCGCACTCGCTGGAGAGAGGGGTCAATCTCCAGGTGGAGGGGGGTCAGGAGGCTCTGGTTGACAGTGACCTCATGGATGCCCCCAGCTCCAGGCATCATCCCCCCTCCAAATCCATATCCACCAGCTCGGTACCCTATGCCCCCGGCACCCAGCCCACAGCCAGCACCTCCAAAACTGGCCCGGCTGGAGCGGTAACCCCCACTAACAGAGATTCTCTTGGTACCCCCAAGGCTGTGGAGACTCCTTGTCCCAAAGCCACCCCCCAAGCCACCTCCGAAGCTCTTTCCGCTCTGGGTCACAGAGACAGAGCTAAAGCTGGGCCGGCAGCCTGCAAGGAGGCTGGCTGAGGAGGCACTGAAGTTCCGAGTGCCCCCCGACTTGATGGTGACAGAGGATCGCTGGGTCATGGTGGAGCTGGTGGCAGAGTCAGAGGAGTGAGACTGTCAAAGGAACAAGGTGCCTTCAAAGTATAGCTTTCCCAAGCTCTCCTGGACTTTTATCCCTTCCAAGAACTGGGCTTGGCTGCAGAAGATCAAAGACCCCTCTGTTGAGTTCACCTCAATGGCATGTCTGGCCACAGCCCGTCTTCCTGCCCCGCTAATCACTATGGGGAACACCCTACCCAGGGCAGGACCAGGCCTGGACTTCAGGCCTGGGCCAGGCTCGTTCCTGAGCCCCCCACCCTCCTCAGTTCTCAGTTACATGCTGTGGACACTCTGTGTGTGCCCCATCTTCAGTGCCCTGCGGTCATCCCAGGCCTGGGCTCTGGATCCACACACCGGACTACACCCTTCCCATCCTGGTCACTTACTATAAAAAAAAAAAAACAAACTAAAAAATAAATAAAAATCTGTATCTTGAGGATTCGATTTGTGCCATATCACAAGGCAGGTTAGCTACAGCATCATTTCACTTAATTTCTCCTAACTTTGTGAGGGCAGATGATCAAAAATAGTAATAGCCAACATGTTTTTAAAAGTTTATTTAGTTATTTTCTCAGACAGAGAAACAGAGAGGGAGGCACCCCCAACAGGATGCCTGGTCCACCTGGCCTGAGCCAGCCCTGGATCATGGGCACAAGCATGCCTGACATACTAAGGGGCATCTCTAGGGGCAAATCCAGAACCTTCCTGGTGGGCCAGCCTCACAGAACACCACATTTTGTCCCTGCACCAAAGCCTGGCCCAGGTGTCAACGTTAGTGAGCAGCTGCTGTGGGAACTGCTTTGCAGCTGCCTGGTTACTCTTCAGCGGCACTGTGAGGACAGCTGCTCTTGTTTCACACAGGAAGCAATGGAGGTGGTGTCATTAGGCAACATGGCTAAGGTCACATGGTGAGTAACTGTTGGGGTCACTATTAGAAGCCATATTCTAACCCCAGGCTCCATGCCCTCAGTCTCGGCCCCCCACACAGTGGGGAAACCAGGCTCAGGGAGGAGAGGCAGCTTATCCAGGAAGAAGCAATCAGGGCGTCACTCCAGGTTCCTGTCCCTTTACTGCTCTTGTTCCAGAGCCCTAACTTGCCACACCCCTGCCCCCAACCCCAAGGATTTAACAACGGTCCCCATGTCTTTTTTCTCTTCGCCATCATTGCTCACTCCCAACCATCTTCTTCCTTTCCCTGCTGTTTGACTCCCTGGATGAGTGTTTCCAGAATCCCGGATCACAGTTCCAAGCTTGCTCTGGAGCCTCCAACCCACTCCATCCAAGCCCACATGGGCTACCGCTCTAGGAGGGCCCCATGGGCTATTCCTCAGGTCAGGCCTGATGGGAGGAGTCCAGGAGACTCGTAAACTCAGGAATGTGGGAGCTTCCTGGACGTCTCACCATTGACTACAATTATGGCTGAATGGCTCCTCTGCTTGGTGAAAGCATTGCCCCCAGGGCTGACTTTTAACTCCACTCCAAGGCCTGTTATTTCACTGGCAGGCCTGCAAGTTTGAAGCTGCCATGGAACAATCAGCCCCTTTGCTGGAAGAGGCCTGGGGACCTACCCTACATCGGTGTTCCATCCCAGAAACAGTCTGGTATGGGAAGGGGACAGCGTGGCTGTCCCCGCCCTACAGAATGGGGAGCAGGGTGGGATTTGCATGAGGTGGAGGCTTCCCAAACAGGGAAGAGAGAGATAGGAGGAGGTGGGAGGAGGCCTGGCTGGCCCATGTTCTCTCAGCACCTCTGCAGACCCCTCCTTCCCGTCTTCCTACCCAGACTTCTTAGCTAGGAGGGAAGGGGCAGGGCTGATGCGTTCCAAGCAGTCCTTGTGTGAAGCCTACACCAAGGGGAGGAGGCAAATCGCTCTGGGCTCCATTGCATTGCAAACAGAGGGCAGCCGCCAAACACATTACATATGCATTTAATGGGCACATTCCAGCCAGGGAACAGAGGGAGCACTCACTCCCAGCAGGCAGCTTATAAGCACCGTGAGACAGGCAGGGTGACAACCTGGCACTGAGATGGTTCTGGAGACACAGACCCCCCCATCTCCACGTCTGGAGGAGGGAGGAAAGTGCAGCTGAAAGAGGAGTTTCCAGACTTCGTGGGCCTCCACAAGAGAGGCTGAATTCAACCTTGAAAGGAGCGGGCTGTGGTTTCGCATGTCTTACACGGAGAAGTGCCAGGAGCAGTCTGGGGACTGGCAGCAGGGCAGAGGCTGGCTTATGTCAGGGAACGGGGTTCAGCCAGGACTCTAGGTTTCCTGGCTGCACAGGTGGGCCTTATGGAAGGGAGAAGAAGGAGAAAGACCCAGGGGGAAGCCTGAGTCCCACTTGGGTCCCAGGTGTGGGTATAAATGGGCTCTAGTGTAGGGATGAGGGATGTGGGTGGCTGCCCTTAGTGCTTGTAGCTCTTCCGGTTGGAGGACGTGGTGGAGACAAACTTGATGCTAGAGCCACTGCCCCCTAGGCCCCGGCTGCTACTGGCACTGAAGCCAGAGCCCCCCAGGCCAGCACCCAAGCTGTGCCCACCGCTGGTGGTGAAGGAGTAGCCGCTGCTTGCACCGAGACCCAGGCTTCCACCTCCAATGCTGCTGCCGCCACCGTAGCCACTGGAAACGGTGGAGGTGACCACAGCTGCAGGAAAAGAGGAGACACGGTCAGTGTCAAGGGCAGGAGATAAGACACCAGGGCTGTCAGGCCTGTGCCCTGAAATCCTTAGTGGGGAGATGGGATGGTCCCCTCAGGCAGCTGTTTGCCTGCTTGTGATTTTCCCCTGTCCCTTAGTGAGAGGACTGTCCTGTGCCTCAGCCTGCTTTCCCCGAGCTGTAGTGACTGACATTCGCCCAGGCTGAATTGACTCCCTGCTTCCTTTCTGCTGCTCAGTGTGTCTCTTCTTCCAGAACCTGCTGGAGACCACTCTGCTCTGAGAAGCTGCTCTGGCCCGCTGGCCTTCCCTTCAATCCTGCTGCGTGCTCCCCTGTTGCTCTGCCATCCCCCTCTTCCTCTCTGGCCTTGGCTGTGACATCTTTCTTTCTGGAGGCTCAAAGGGGGACGTACATGTTTTCCCCTTGGTAAGCCCAGCCTCGGCGCCTTGTATCCCAGAGTGAGTCAGGAATGCTCTCCTTTTTTAGTTTCTTTCTTTCTTTCTTTTGAGAGAGAGAGAGAGAGATAGAAAGAGAGATACAGAGAGAGACCGCCAATGGGGTCTTGGCACTGCAGTCCACCAGGGCTGAATATTGATAGGCCAAGTGCCAGGTGACCATAGCCAGTCAGCTCTGCTGTTTCTCCTCCTAGCCGAGTATTTTCCTAACTTATAAACCAGCCGTCGCCGTAAATGCTCTGGTGCTCTACTCTGGGCTCTCTATAGAAGAAAAACTGAAATGTAAAATAGACTCTCTGATGGGATGAATTCTGTCCTCCAATAAACTAAGTTGAAGTCCTAACCTCCAATACCTGTGAATGTGACCTTATTTGGAAATAGGATCTTTGTAGATGTAACCAAGTTAAGAAGCCCTTAGGCTGGACTGTAATCTAATATGACTGCGATTTTTATAATAAATACATAAATACATAAACAAATAAATGAATAAATGAATGGAAGAGAGCTATCTGAAGACACAGGCACGGGGACATGGGATTGTGATGACAGAGACAGAGACTGGAGCGATGTAGACAGAAGCCAAAGGAGATCAAAGATGGGCAGCCACCACCAGCAGCTAGGAAGATGCTAGGAGGGCTTCTGCCGTGAAAGTCTCAGAGGGAGTGAGGCCTTGCTGACACCTTGATTTTGGACTTCCGGCCTCCAAAACTGTGAGACAGTTCATTTCTGTTGCTTTAAGCCACCCGATACTGTAACAGTTTTAGGAAACTAGTAGAGATGTATTGGTGTTTTCCAGAGAAAGGAAACTTCCAGGTATGCCATCTGCTCCCAGGGTGTCCAGAGCTACTTGACAAGGACACTGGGGAAAGAAGACACTTGGGTGGTTGAGACAGCTCTGCCTGCTAGAATCATTGGCTAATATAATCCATTGTTCTTAGGAATCCCTCAAGACATCCAGACTCACGTGTGAGTTATAAAAGTCAATGTTGTTGGCCTCACGGTGCCAGCACTGAGTTCCCTGAGTGAAGACTTTGGCTCTTACTGGCCCAAGCAGTGCCAGCTTGCTAGTGCCTGTCCTGTTTGGAGCAGCCACACCCATCTGCCACGTCTTATGCTGTTCCCACTGCCTTGAAAACCCTTGGCAAGTGTCCAAAGTTGTATTCTATAGAATTGGGGTAAGCAGTGGGCTTCCTCCCAAACTTTGGGGAGGAGCTGCCTAACTGCCTAACTGCTAACCTTGTGCCTAGCCTCAAGGTTCCTTCTAAAGGCCTGAGGCAGAACAGAAATTTTCATCAATTTTGTCTACAACAAATGCTTTTCTCTGAGCTAGATTTGAGCCCCAGCAAGAAAGGCATAGAATCCAGGGAGATGAGGAGGTGTGGTCAGAGTCTTCTAAACTCTTATAGAGTAAGAACAATCAAGTCCCATTACCCCTTCTGTGGCACTCTCACTCTCAAAGAGCTAAGAATTGTGACATTAAAAGACACCCCTGGGCCAGTTTGTAGCATGGTGTTTAAGGTGGCTGGATTGCACATGGCTGACCCTAGGGTTCATGTCCTGGATCTGGCAGATGGAAAAACACGTCAAGCACATGTGTAAGTGCGTGTGTGCCCAAAATCCCAAAAGAAGGAAGAAATGGAGAAGAGGAGACTGTGGCATAACCATTCACTATGGGGGGTGCTTTCCCATGTTCACTCTCTCTTTTTCTCTCTCTCTGTCTCTCTGGAGAGTGTATGTGCCCTCTAGTAAATTAAAACAAACAACAAATGAAAAAAAAGAAGACGAAAAATAAAAAAGATTCTCCTAATGTGGCTTTCTTAGAGCTCAAACCTTCTTGTGATAAACCTTGTCCGTGGGATCCCCTCTAAGGTCTTTATCCTCCTGCAAGCCCATTGCCTCCCCATCCTCCCACCCACATGCTTTCCAGATGACACAGAAGGATGTCGTACTCACAGATGTTAACTGGAGAAACTCCCTCTCCACTCAGCCTGATGGCAGAAGAGGGGAGAAGGAAGGTTACTGTGGTGTCCTGCAGCTTGTGGGCATTTACAATGACGTTTTTGCAATTGTTTTAAATACTTAAAAAAACCGTTGATTATTTTCATTGCAGAAGCAATGCAGCTTGAAATTATTTAAAAACTAAGTTGTATTAAAAATAATAACCTAATTAATAAAGTGAAGTGGAATTTGAGGTTTATAGGAGTAAACCTATAATCTCAGAAACACACTTTTTGGTTTAAACCAGTTAATCACCTAAAGGACATTAAAACCAACCATACACTGGCATCAGTTGGAAAGGCAGGGCTTATCCTGTAACGAGAAGGTTTTCCTCTCAACAAGGGACTATTGTCATTGCACTGGACTAGCACTGAGGTTATTGTAGGTGTGGAGAAGAGTCTGAGTCACAAAGATAACAACAATAATCAGTCTATTATTATCTTAGCAACAGGAGTAATTTCACTTCAGCATCCTAAAGACAGACTGGCATTCATTCATGAACGCATGCTTAGAACATGAAAGGAGCTAACAGTTACTGAATACCTGCTACTTCCAGTATGCCACTTAGTTTTCTCAGTAAGCGCATTAGGTACGTTTTATTTTCTCATTTTGACAGAGGGAGAAATTGAAAGTCAGAGAGCCTAATTAACTTGCCCATGATCACACAGCTGGATTTGAAGCCAGATTCATCTGACTCCAAATCCCATGCCTTCATCACTAAACGGAATGACACCTAACATTTACTAAACACTCATGTATTATTCTGAGTTTTATATGCATGCCCTTATTTTAACCCTTTTATTGATGTATGAATTTAGAGCTATTATTATCCCCATTGTATAGGTGAGGACACTGAGGCATGGAGAGGATAAGACACTTGCCCTTTTTACACAGCCCGTAGCTGTCACGGCACAAAGCTTTGCGTTTCGGGGGGAGTAATCTGACCTCTTCATTCTGTTATTGAAGAAACTGAGGGCCAGGAAAGGAAGACTGACTTTTCCAAAGTTGCACAGCTTATTAGTGTAGATCTGCACGCCTAAATTCTAGAATAGTCTATTCTCAGTCCAGAGCCTTTCCTACCAGATGTAACCAAATTTCTACCATGTAACCAAATTGCTCCTTTGATAGAATGTGACTGCTCAGACCTGATCAGGTTTTAATGAGTGCTAAATGGACCTCAAACGATTTACTAGCCTGGGAAGAAAACTGCACTGAATTCTTTGTCGTAGCTCAGTTCCACCTGTACTTTGCTCCGCTTCTCAAGAGAGGAAGGGGCTATAGTAACTGAGCCTTTAGGAAAGCCCAGGTAGCTGTAGTGAGCTCAACTTGCTTTGAAGATGGAATTGGTGCATCTGCTCTCACCTGCACTCCTCGCCCTCCAGCAGCTTGCGGTAGGTGGCGATCTCCACGTCTAGGGCCAGCTTGACATTCATCAGCTCCTGGTACTCACGCAGCAGCCGGGCCATGTCCTGCTTGGCCTTCTGCAGGGCCTCCTCAAGATCTACCAGCTTGGCCCGGGCATCCTTGAGGGCCAGTTCTCCACGCTGCTCTGCATCAGCAATGGCTGTTTGCAGGCTGGAGCACTGCAAAGAAAGGAGGAATCCCTGAGCCCGGCTGATAGCCCTTGGAGGTATGGTCCTTCTTAGAGAGGAATTCTGTAAGACGGCAGGAAGACCGGGAAGAAGTAAGTGTTCTGGGAGCTCTTGGCCCTGCCAAAACTCTACCTGCTTCTTGACGCTGTCAATCTCAGATCTCAGCCTCTGGATCATCCGGTTCATCTCAGAGATCTCTTGCTTGGTGTTGCGGAGGTCATCCCCATGTCTGCCCGCTGTGACCTGAAGTTCCTCGTACTGACAGAACCAGAGCAGACTCAGTCACCTAGTGAAATGCCCAGCCTTGGCACTCCCTACATGCACATCGTGGCCCTCCATTCCTTCACTGGTTATTCACTCATTTCCTTACTCATTTATTCAGGTGATATTTCTTGAGCACATCTACTTGCTAGACATGTGGTAGACTCTGGGAATACAATGATGAGCATAGTGTGTTTTATTGGGGGAGACTTGTGTTTTATTGGGGGAGACCGACATGAATCAAATCATCATATTCTTGAATTTATAGTTCTGACCTGAAATAAGTGCCCCTTAGGAATGGAAAGTTCTAGGGCAGTGTAAGAAAGGAATCTGATCTAGATTTGGAAGTTGGGTGTAGTGGTCAGAGAAGTCTTTTCAGAGATAGAGATGCTTGAATTTCAGTCTGAAGGATGAGAAGGAGGGACCTAAGTGAGTAGCTTGGGGAAAGAACATTCCAGATGAAGAAAGCATTGTGCAAAGACCCTGGGGCAGGAAAGAACACGATCAGTTCTAGGAATGAAGAGGTGACTTGGTCACCATTCTTTGGGAGTTCCTGGTTGTGGGTCATGTGTCCAGACCTACAGTGTCCATGAATTTTGGTAGGTCTCCAACAGCAGGGCTGGGGAAATGAGAAGATGCCAGGAAACGGTGCTGGATGTGCAGAGGCTGTAGATGGCACCATTTTGTAGACTATAAAAAGTCCCGGATTTCAGCTAGCTCTCAGTCTAATTGTGTCTATCTAGGAAAAACTTCTTTAGGAAAATAATTGCACCCTTGGGGCGAAATCCATACCACAGAAGGAGAGCCCCTGCCTGAGTCAAGATCTGTCTTGTTTTGAAAGGGCTAAAGCTTGGCTTCCCCTATTTCTGGACACACATGCTTAGAAGGATCAAGGACACCAGTAACAGCAGGAGTCATTTGCTATACATTTCAACTTTTTCATTTTTGGGTTTAGTGCATCCCACTTACTCTCACTGTCAGAGGCTGCCTCTGCACTGTGGACTCCTGGCATCTGACACCATTCATCCTTTCTATCACACCACTGACTGGAAGAGACTAAGGCAGAGCACAACACAGAGCAAGAGAAGGAGCCAGCTTGTAGGTGAGGAACTGCCCCTGCAAACCCAACCATACACCCAAATGTTCTGCATTTGGTAGGGAGTTGTTCTCATGGGGCTGCTATACCCCTGCAAAGCCAAAGCTCCTGATCACTGGAGCCTCTGAACAGTAGCTCTGTGTGGTCATCCCAACCTCCCTCTTCCTGGCACAAATTCTCTTGCTCACCCAAGTGCTTATTCCAGCCTCCAGTCACCTGCTCAGCCTCAAACACTCCTTGGCAATTTTGTGTCCCTTAATATTTTGTAATTGGGCTAAAAGTCCACCTCTTGCTGGAAGCTTTTAATTAATGCTGTCTTTTCCCCTTGTGATTGTCCATTCAGTTCATGGCCTCCCAGACCTTGGTTTCTCTGTTTGCAGTTTTCTCATTTACAACTATATAACTCAGCTTGTCACATAGTAGGAGCTCAGCAAACATGTGTCAAATAAATAAACACTTTAGAAACGTCTGTGTGACTATTTCTTGGTTGTCTTGGAGTCTCACCCAGCCAGATCATGAGCAGTGCAGAGCTCCTGGCTCTCCTTCTGGGCAGCCGGCATTGTCCTCACTACATATTGGTGTGTATGGTTGGGTTTCCACATGCATTTCAAGCTCAGTTTTCATAGCATCAAAAATGACTCTGCTAAGCTGACAGAAATGAAGATCAGATGTTTCCTCAGGCTTGTAACTAAGAACTAAGTGATAATATGGAATGTCGGAGGACAATAACCCTGGAACCTATTACAGAGCTGTCCATGCTCACCTTGGTCTGGTACCAGGACTCAGCCTCAGCCCTACTACGGTTGGCAATGTCCTCATACTGTGCTTTGACCTCAGCAATGATGCTGTCCAGGTCCAGGCTACGATTGTTGTCCATGGAGAGGACCACAGATGTGTCGCTGACCTGGGTCTGCATCTGAGACAGCTCCTGAAAGGAAGAAGGACATTCAGTATCACTGGGGCACAAAAGAAGGAATCTTGAACCCCTGTGTTTGGTGACCCATCTAGGTCAAGAATCCCTTTTTTGGCATCCCTGGAGGAGTTTTCCAGCTGTTCCTTGGGCTAGCTATGTAGGGGCTCCCATCCTGAGAAATTTCTGGGCCATTGAACAGTGTGGTAGGATTTTTTCTCCAGCATCACCTCTCAAAGGACCCATCTGTGTGCTTTCCCTGGGTATAAGGGTAAGTGTCCTCTGAATCCAAATTCTATTGATTTGAATATGACGTATGTTGGTTTATATACTCACATAAAAGGTTTCTTCAGGATTGGGGGCATTTAGGATCTTCTGCCCTCTGCTTAGAATGACTTCATCATTTGCTATCTCCCTCTCCTCTTTCAAAGACCCAGATCTTTGCCTTCAGAAGGACAGTGCCAGAATGAGGCATCTTCTAAGGTCAGGAAGTCCTCTGACCTATGAGCTAAGGGGCAGCTTGCTTTTATTTAGGAAGGGTGAGCAGAGGAGGTGGGTCTTGATTCCTTGGCAATATTCCCCGGTGACCCATAAGTTGGAAATCATCACTCTCTCCTTTCTAAGACTTGCCATAGGGTGGGGAGGGAAGCCCAGAGATGGGGGAGTTTAGTGTGGCATGGTTCCAAGCAGCTTCACCTGGTCCCTGGTACTACCGAACCCCCAGCTTGGATTCTCTGGGGCAAGGTGCTGGGTAGAGGCACTTGGATGCTACTCAGCATATCCTTTTCTTTCTAGCTTCTAGGCCTAGGAAAAATAAAAGCTCTTGCAGACTCTTACTGCCTCAAACAACATCCGGAGGAAGTTGATCTCATCAATCAGAGAGTTGACATTGGCTTCCAAGTTCATCTTGCCCATGTAGGCATTGTCCACATCCTATAAAGACAGAATAGAAGACTCCTTTGAGACCCTAGCCCAAGCAGTAAGTTCAAAAGGGGTTGGATGGATTCCTCCCTGGTCCTTCTAGTTTAGATTTTAGAAACTCTTTAGTGGGGAGGCGGAGGTTGGGATTAGGGATAGATGATTACTGGGAACTTGGGGGTTGGATTCTCTGGGCTAACAGAAACCCAAGCAGGGTCAGAAGAGCTGTATACATGAAGGGAGCATTTTAGTGGTTTGAGTTCTCTGAATATTTTCAAGGTCAATGTGATATTTCTTGAGAGGCCCAAGGGTCAGGCCATTCCATACTTCAAAATTCAGTTCAATTCTTCTCTTCTGACACACATTTCTTCTTACCTTTTTCAGGGCCACAAACTCATTCTCAGCAGCTGTGCGCTTGTTAATTTCATCTTCATACCTGTGAAGACAGAGGAGAGGGGTGCACTGTTGAGCAAGCGTTCCATTTAATTCTTCCCAGGCTGGTATAGCAAGAATTCAGAGAGCTCAGATCCTTCCCAGTTCTTCCCCTGACCTGTGTGTAACTTTGGGTGATTCAGACAACCTCTATTTTTCTCTCTATAAAAGGGAGATAATTTCTTTTGCCAGTTTCCGTCCCCCCCAAACTTTCGTAAGACTGGAAGATGATTATAGAACTTGTGGGAATAGAAATATGTACTTATGAAACGTCATCTTTTTATAGATGCACAATTCTTATCTTAAAAAAAAAAATTGCTGCCTGAAGTGTCTGCTGAAACTGTGGAGTACACTATCTATTCCAGTAGATTTTGATGTATTTTCACTGAAACTCAGGCTGGCGATTAAACAGTGTACTTTTTGTAACTAGGTATAGCTCAAACTCAGAACCAAGGGGCAAGCCAGCTAAAAGGTTAGTTGGGGTCATCCAACTAAGTAGGGCTGCCTCACCTAGCCCCTACTTTGTCCTCACTACTTCTTTTTTCTCCTAGGCTAATGCCACCCTGCAAAGGCAAGCCATCCTAATAATTGAGCCCATTTCCAATAGGGTAAATATGCTCAACATAAAATAGGATGTTTTCCAGAGTGAATAGCAATGTCTTGTTAGATGATGCTGGTATCCCTTTGCTGTCATGTAGACAGATAAGAATATGCTCTTTGTAGATAGTGATGCATGACACGAAGTCTCTTTGTTACTGCCACACCATGCTGTTTTTAGTTCATGGTCTATTGACTGCAAGTTCCAAAGCTCCTGGCTAACACTGGCATTTGCTTCTTTGTACGTTTTCAGTTCCCATAAAAAGGAGCCCTGAGATAACTGTGTGGCTGGAAGCCTGTCTCCCACTTACTTGACTTTGAAATCTTCTACGACATCCTGCATGTTCCTCAGCTCAGCCTCGAGCCTGCCCCTCTCGGTGGTGATGCCATCCAGCTGCCGTCGGAGGTCACTGATGTAGGAATCAAAGAGAGGCTCGAGGTTCTGTCTCACAGTTCTGGAGCCCTGCTCTTGCAGGAGGTTCCACTTGGTCTCCAGGACCTTGTTCTGCTGCTCCAGGAACCGCACCTAGAGAGGCAAAGGCAGAATGAAATTTTGAGACTGGAAAGGCAGAGCCAGACACTCCTACTATTAAGAGAGGGAAGAAAAAGATGTTTTTTCACCCAACACCCACCTGGCAACCATGTAATTGACAGCTCCAACCTCCAATGAGGAAGCCCACAGTTCTCTAGGATTTCCATTGAATAATGGGGCTCTGAGGTCTCTATGGGAAGGCTCTGTCCTTGGGATGAGTTTCTTACCATTGCCTGCTCTGCGTTAGGGTGGATTGTTCAGCGGAAACTCACCTCTTGCAGAGAGTCAACTTAACATTTCCATCAGTGTTAACTCTAAACCGGCCCACATGGCTCCAAAAGAGGACAAGGAGAAATTTCTACAAGGTCCCAGAGGACAAGATGGCCTGACTTGAAAATGCCTTGGCCCCATGGGAAGCACTTGTTGAAGGATGCACCTTCCCTGGGAAGACCATTGCATTATTGCTCTCCCCTCTGGGCTGGGGCCTTTCTAAGAGTTTTTTTAGCCCATACCCAATGAGACAGAGGGAGTTCTTGGTTCACCTTGTCGATGAAGGAGGCAAACTTGTTGTTGAGGGTCTTGATCTGTTCTCGCTCCTCTTTCCGCACCCTCTGGATGGTGGGGTCAATTTGCAGGTTGAGGGGAGTCAGGAGACTCTGGTTGACAGTGACTTCTTGGATGCCTCCAGGAGGGCAGACAGGGAAGCCAGTGCTCCCCACACCCCCTCCAACTCCACCTCCATAGCCAAATCCACTGCTGACCCCAAACCCAAACCCGCTGCTGCCTCTGCCGCCAAAGCCACTTCGGAAGCCACTGCTGCACCCACCGATGGAGACACGCTTGGTCCCTCCCAGGTTGTAGAGGCTGCGGCTTCCAAAGCCAGCCCCCGCGCCGCTGATCCTACCCAGCCCCCCACTGCCCCCTGTGGAGCGGGCCACGGAGACAGAGCTGAAGCGGGAGCGACCCACAGCTGGGGTGGTGGCGGAAGCAGTGCTGAAGCCCCTACGGTTGCCGGTCTGGAAAGTGATGGTGGACTGCCGAGACATGGTGGGTGAAGAGGCAAAAGGATCTCCTGAGGTAGGTGGTAAGGGGATGGAGAAGACAGATAGCTGGGAGCCCCAGGGCCTTGGCTTTATGGACCTCTAGGAGGGGCGGGGCACTGGTAATGAAGGGGCTGTGCTGATGGCAGCCCCGAGGCATTCACCAATCCTGAGCTCACTCAGCACCCCTCAGGAAATGGTGTGAAGCCACTGGTTGGTTCCCTGGCAGCCTTCCCCCACGTGGAAACTCCTTTCCAGTTACAACTTGATCAGCAGACAAAGGAGAAGCAAGTTAATTGCTTCCATCATGTCCTAATCATGCATCTTGTAATGGACCCAGAAAACACTGCCTCATTTTTAGACCGCTTTGTTAGGCCTGGAACCAACTCCCTCCTGTCCAAACATCTGTGCCAACACAAGCGACTGTGATCCACTGTTTCCTGGTCCTTGGTATGTTTCCTATTCTTGAGCATTTTCTCAATAGCTACTGCCTGGCAGCCCACCACCCTTCCTTGATCCAGCTGTCTTCAGATTTTGAAAATCCTGCTCTATAATGCTCTATAATCATCTTCCTTGGGAACCCACCCAAGGGTTGGTTCTTTATTTTTCTCAATTGCTCCTTTATTTTTCTCTTAATTTTCCATGACTTTGGTGTCAGTCATGCATGATTTTCTGGAGCTTGAGTGTGTGAGTGTGTGAGTGTATGAGTGTGTGTGTGTGTGGTGTGTGTGTGCATCTGTATGCTCTCTGCCTACTCCATTATAATGTGACTTTCAAGACCAATCAGCCCTCCATCTTCTATGGAGAAAAGTTGTGAGCATAGAAAGACTTGACTTAGAATCCTGGCCCTGCCGATTACTAGTTGTGAGACTGGGCAGGTCATGAAACTTCTGAGTCTCAATTTGTGTGTCTGTAAAATGGAGTTTGTGATGAGTACTCATGTGTGAGCACTTTTGCAATGCCTGAAACATGTGAGTGCTGACTAAATGTTTGTTGAGTCTTCTCTCCTGTCCATATAATCAAGCGAGTATTAAAGAAGTGCTAGCTGTGTGTCTGGCCTGTGACAAGTCCTCTGGGGATTCAAAAGAAACACAATGGTGGGGCTAGCAGGCGGCGTGGTGGTTAAGGCACTGGACTCACGCATGGCCAACCGTGTTTCAAGTCCTGGAACTGGTGTCTTGCTTTCTCACTTTCTCTGTCTCTGACTCTCTCTCTCTCTCTCTCTGGTCAAATTAAAAATAATAATAAAAAATAAAATTAACTAAATAATTCTTTAAATTTTTAAAAAAGAATCACAATGCCTATTTTTTTTTAAAAATAAGAAATTCCTGGTCCTATTGGAAAGACAATTTGAAGCACATTAAGTAATTTAAGTACAAGATGGCATACAGAGAAGCTCTAACTCCAAGCCATCTCTATTTGTAGCTGCCTACCCTGAAGTCTCCCAAGCTGGCCACTCCTCCTGGGGACCGGGAATCTCTCATTCTTCACTTCTTCAAAAGAGCTCCCATGGCTATACTTTTATTGGATAGACAATTTGAAGCACATTAAGTAATTTAAGTACAAGATGGCATACAGAGAAGCTCTAACTCCAAGCCATCTCTATTTGTAGCTGCCTACCCTGAAGTCTCCCAAGCTGGCCACTCCTCCTGGGGACCGGGAATCTCTCATTCTTCACTTCTTCAAAAGAGCTCCCATGGCTATACTTTGTAGAGGATTAGTTTTCTTTCCCTTTTCTCCTGTTAATCTTGACTGTGCCCTACATTACTCATTAGTCTATAAACCAACCAGGAGTCTCTCTCCTTCTTTCTCTCTCTTTTTCTATCCTGGGGTAGTCAGACAGAGAGATTGCTAGATCTTCTTTTCTCTTGCTGACCTTTCGCTTCTTACTGTGGTTTTGAAGGATGAGAGAGTGAGAGGAAATTACATGTATTCAATCTCCATTTTGTGGGTGAGGAAACTGAGTCCCAGAACAGTTAATGGAACAGACAGACCAATTTTGCATAGCTAGTGAGAAGTAGAGCCAGATTCCAGGTCTTTCCACAGGTATCTTTTCAGAGGCAAACAGCCAACTGTGGGGCAGACACTCTCACCTGCCTGGAATGGCAGCTTGGCATTTGGTGTGGTGGTGTTTTGTTTTCTGAGCTATTTCCTTCTTGGGGTTGGGGCCAGGGACGGGGCCTCTCCTCCCTCTAGAGATCGTCTGAGAATCTCAGTTTCCACAGAGAATCCATGAATCATAGCTTTTGTTGATATAGGCCAAGAACAGCCCAGGAGTTCTCTCACTTGGTTGCCAATGCACCAAGGTCTCAGGTGGGGCAGTGCATGCCTCTTGAGTGGAAAGAATAATTATCTTTGTTTTCTGTACTCCTCATTACATGGCCATCTGTCTCCCAGAGAAGGGACACTTGTTTCCAGAGCCATGCTGAGTGAACCCTTGCAGAGCTGGTTCGCTCTATGAGGCACTAGATTGTCTCACTCACTGACTTTGGTGAGAAAGATAGAAATAGATGTCATCTCTCTTTTTTCTTTAATTGGTCATCTGTCACCTTTGACCTGCACTGTGAATTTTAAAAAAATGTATCTATTTGTTTTTTCCATAAGTGGGAGAGATAGATAGATAGATAGAGAGAGAGAGGGGGGGGTACAGAATAAGACACCTCCAAAATGATCCCCATGTCTTGATCCACCCCCAGCCTCTGCCAGCCCAGATCATAGGTTCACATCTGGCACATTCAAGGAAGTCTCCAGATACAAACCCCAAATCCTTGCGTGTAGGCCAGTCTCACAGAGCACGGCACTATTGCCGCATCGCTGTCTGGCCCCCACTCTGACCTTTAACGTGGTGGATTATGTTCGAATGAGTGCCTATGACACCAGCCTTCCTGATAGCCAGTGTCACCACCTCCTTAAAATCTCAAAACTTACAGCCTAGCTATATCCTGTCTTTTCTTTCTGCTAAGAAAGCATTTTTGTGTGTGTATATTTTAAACTCCTATGTGATTCTGCTTAAAATTCACCCCCAAGAAGCCTTCTCAAATAGACTGAACTCATGTACTAACCCCTTAACACCTGTCCTTGGTCTGTACTTCAGTATGTTGGTTTCCTAGTCCTCTGGTGTTGGTTTCCACTTCTGAGGGTTGGGGTGTTTCTCTGCTTACCTAGACTTGCCTAGATGAATGGAGCTCATGAGATACAGGTTATTTACCTTAAAGAAGAACCACATATTTGTTTCTGTGTTCTAAGTCTTCCAAGTCTCTCCACTGTATTGGATCCATCTGGGAGGCATATATTGAGGTGTGGGGAGTGTTGGATTGAGGGCTTGGTGTGCGTTCTGGTGTCTAAGCCTGGGAGAGCAAGCCCTTCAGCTTCCTATTACCTGCCCTCCTGCTCAGAGTGTTCTCCGCCATCCTCAGAGGGACACTTGGGCCTTTGGCGGGTGGTGAATTCCAAGAGAGCTGGACTGGATGGCAAACAGGGTCATGGAGTTTGGTAGAGGAAGAGAATAAGGGGTGGAGGTATACTTCCCAAGGATGTGGATTGGAGGGTGTACCAGGAAGCTTTGGCTTCCAACCAGGCCAGGGCCAGAGAGGACAGCCTGGTCAAAGACCATGGGAGAGAGATTACCTCCCTAGAGAAGGCTGGCCTGGTGCACAGAGCCAGGCTCTCTGATCACACGTCCAATAACCCAGGTGACAGCTACTCACCCCTAATTGCTCACCACAATAGATCACTCCTGGACATCTCCTAGTCTCTGGGGCAGTTCTGCCTTATGTGAGTAACTATTTCTTAGCTCCTATTATGTGCCAGGTAGTCACTGTTTTGGGCACAGGAGATACAGAAGAGAACAAAGCAGACAAAAATCCTTTCTCTCCTAGAGCTTACATTAAAAGGGGAAGGGGAACTAAGGCAATTTGGAGGTGTAGCCCCAGCTTGGGGCTCCCAGGAGACACTTCCTTTTTTTTTTTAAGAGGTTTTTGCTATAGGGTGCGTGGGCTCGCCAGGAAAACAGAGCCCTTCTCCTCCATTTTCCTCTTGGGATCTTGGGCACACACACACACAGGCACCTGGTGTAAGTTTTAAGCCACCGGGTCCGGGATGCGAACTGTGGTTGACTACATGGGAGTCCAGCGACATAGCCATTATGCTAACTGCTGGTCCCAGAAGATACTTCCTAAGGGCTAAGTGTGGAGAAGATAATTCTGTTGTGGTGATACCTGAGACATTCCAACCAGGAACACCTTTCTATCTTTACTATTTGTGTCAGTGCTGCTGGACCTCAATATTCGTATGCCTAATAGATACCATCTAGCCTGCCTCTACAGGAGTTAGACCTTCCTCTTCATGACCCCCTTTGCTCCTGTTGTCAGTGGCATCATTGCTCTCCAGAGGGTGCTAAATGTGCCAGCGATCTCAACAACTCCCAAGGTTTAGGATTGGGACGTTCACTAGCCTGTGGCCAGATCTGCTCCTTCCCACTGCCCATAGAACAAACATTTCAAAGGGTCCATATTTGAGGTGCAGGGCCTTGTACAGCCAGGTAGAGGGCCTTGCACAGATAGGCAGACGCTCCACAAGCTCCCTTCAGGCCCAGCCTAGGTGACGTAGTGCACTGCATACCAGACTGCAGTGTTGGGAGTCACGTGACTGACCACAGGTTTGGCCGGGCTGGTCTGAAAACACAGCAGGCTCCGTTCTTTGTTCCCATGCCACACAAGATCCAGAGGAGTTGGAGAGCTAGAGAAAGGGAATCATGGCGTATGACACCTTGTTGAAGTTGCCTCCTCTCTCTCTCTTTGGTGGATGTGTACTCTTTCTATATGAAAAAAAAAAAAAAAGACACCTTCAGTCAATTTTAGTAGCAAAGTGGTGTGTTCTTTTTTTTTTTTTTTTTTTGGAGAGGATTTTGCTATAGGGCACGTGCGCTCGCCAGACAGACAGAGAGAGACAGAGAGACAGAAAGCGAGAAATCACCCCCCAGGGGGGATGGTCACACCGCAATCCCTTCTCCTCCATTCTCCTCTCAGGATCTTGGGCA